CAAGGAGTGTGAATCTGGGTTTAAACTATTTCGAGTAAGTACATGCTTGGGGTCCTGTGCACAGCAGTGCTTGTCTTGGTTTCCGCACTCTCAACTCTATCCATCGAGCTGTACGAACTCAGATCCTGCTGCTATAGGTACGTGCCTATGCTAAAAGTGTTAACTTCTAGTAATCATGCTTACCAAGGCCAGTAGATAGTATACTATAGGTAGAAGAAAATTGGTCTGCTTCGGTTGAGGAAAGTAGGTTTCACACGGAATATCGACAGACGTGCTAAGCAGCCGCCCACAATAAGTACCCACAATAAGTAGTTTAGATTGAAGACGCAGCCGATATACACATTTTACGCTTAAATTTAGTTCGGTGCCCAGGCCTGACATTCGGAGGATCTTGTCCTAGGGGAACTCTGTAAGACAAACCCTTCCTCATGAGTAACTACACAGACGAAAATCGACACAGCTACAAAAATGGAATATGTAAAAGATCGAAAGGAGGGCACTCTGCCTCAGGTCTACGGTTCAAGGAGTTAACGGCTTACTCACTTTCTAAAGTCGGTTATGCGAAGCACGCACTTTGTGACTAAAATTGAAAGGATCTTCACCCTTTTTTCAAGGAAACAAAGACAAAATGATGTTTCGGGTCTAAACTAAGTGTAACTGCCTCTTTACATTTTGTCATGGAGCAGGTAATATAAGTCGGATGACTGGGTATTTTTTCAGTAATAAGGTGAACGACAGTGGAAATATCCGAAGTATGCATGGGATAGAGGCTTAATAATCGATGCTACAACCTGAACGCACAGTCCTAATAACGTCTTGAAAATTCTGCTCTATGTTCACAAAAGGAATTTGAAGCAATACGTGTACGCAACCCGACTGTGACTAGTCCAGATCCAGTTGGCCTCACTGACGTCACGGATTGAGTTTCCCAAAGTGCGCTGACCTACGACAGCGCAACTTGAAAGATCGCCTGGTCTTACAACAACTAGGACCAAAACCAACCACAAATGTCAGGTTAACTGGAAGGATAGATCACTCAGCAAACAACTCAAAAATATAGCTTGCTGAATGTGCTGTCGCTCTGTCAGAGTTTTCAATCTTTTCTTGCACAAGTAAGCTGTAAATGCCGCCTCACGAATCTGCCGTCATACCGTCAGCGGTATTCACCCATCATTCCTTCCTGTACTTGTTACGGATGTCATAATGCCTGATCTAGCCGGCCTAAACGGTGTCACGGAGGGTACCCCTCTTCGCACGACGATTGGCGGCGGTGGATCTGAAAAGCACCACCCACTCTTTTCTCCAACGGAGACCGAAAATCGAAGGTCCAAGACCTGCTTCCATGTCTTGACGAACGGTGCCGAGGCAGGAAAGCGGGTTACCCGTTAGCACAGCTGCTGGCTACCCGGCGCGTCCACAGGTGGCGAACAGTGGAACGACCTTCAGCGAAGGTTATCTGAGAAATAAGCAGGCTCCTGCGTCTGGCGAAGAAGTCATCGACCAGCAGCGACAGTTTTACCAGGGCGCGGAGGGCTGAGGTCTGCCGCACCGGCTGCCTTATAAAATACCGCAATTCCCAATGACGGCACTGTGACATGACGAGAGTGAACCGCCATCAAATAGGATTGCTTGCCACCGCTGCTTTCTGGTCAGGTTCTTGAGCTAAAAGTCCAGAGGAGACAACATTGGACAAACAATCCGAGTGGCTGCTGGGACCCGCCTGCATTCCAAACTCCCAAGATCCCTTCTCCCCTCTCCTCATTTAATTCCCCACCAACGTCCTGCTGAACTGCACATTAATATATTTGCTAAAAAGAGCAGACTTTCTGAGCGCTCAGTATCAATACACCGTAGCTGAAATGCTAAATGTAAATGGGATTTTTAAAAAAACTAGAAAAATGTGTGAGGGGGTAAAATATTAAAGCGCACCAACTGCGAACGATGAAGGAGGATTGCTGCAGTTATCAGATGATCAAGCAACAAGTGGAGTGATGCTTGGCCAACTTAAATGAAAATATAAAACAATAGGGACAAGAAAACAAGAGTCCCCTACCCTGTGTATGAAGGCCGCACCCGTCAGAATCATGGAGTATTCGCAGGAGTAGTCGCTGTTGTAGTACCACTCCTGTGCGCTGTGTGACCAAAAGTGGCCGCGAGCCGGGAAGCCCACGATGCGATCACGATTCTCGCGCCAGACCCTGTACAATAAAGGATGCGCGTTGATAAGGTCCGCGAAATTAATTGAAAAAAAGTCATTTTATTTCAAAATCTGACCCTGCGATTTTACTCCAAACTCAAGTCTTAATTGGTCAATCAGTAGGCATGGCGACAAGCTACGGAAACCACCAGGACCAATTCACGTTAAGTATGCCAAGAGAATTGAAGCTTACTTAACTAGTGAGAACGGCGACTTGCTAGATATCCGTTTTGGTTTTGCCACAGCTGTTTTCGTTTCATCAACATGGTTCGACTTTATTCTACAGTACGCGTTAGCAGACCACTCTGGTCTTACGACAGGTCAAGGTTAGTCTATAAAGGCATCGACTGCATTTATGAGACTACGATGCCAGCAAGCATAGGGCGGCCAAGAAAATTGGAAAATGCTAAAAATAAAATTTGCTTGAAGAAAATTACTTATGGTTTCGTGGTCGGCAAAGCCGGTATAGTCAAAACGAACGATGAGGCTATTAAGGCAATACACCGTTTCGGATACCTTTGGTACACATCTCGGTTAGATGAGCAAACTAAGGCATAAGATATCGATTCAGTTGGAAGGCATGCCTTTCGCTTGAATCCTCTGAAATCCCCCGAAATCGAGACTTAATCAGTGAAAGGACTAACATTCGAGTAGAAGAGGCCATAGTCAGGATGATCTTTCTGGTCCGGAGTGAGATATAGCCTATGCGCCCACAAATTACCCATTGGACGCAAAACATTTGGTCGGCAGTGTTTGCAGCCCACGCTCTACATTCTTTTTCCAGACAACCTCTCCAACGAATGACTATACAGTCGGCAGAGGAAAAAAACCGTAAATGTTGACTCACTGAATGCATACGTGCTGTACCGACCAAACGATTACATTGCCTAGAACATAATATCACTCGGCCCCGAGCAAGCGAAAATTCTGGATAACCAACAGAAGACACAGGTGCGCAAAAATACAACTTACTTCGGACATATATGTGGACTAGCCTTCTTAGGTTTATGTAGCCGTCGACCGACTACAATGGAACGAAACGTCAACTTGCAGCGTGGAGCCACGATGAATGTAATAACAACTGCGATTGTCAAAAGCCGTGTACAATCGACCCACTGTCTGCCGGGAAATAGCATCAGTGTGACGATTCTTAAAAAAATGTATGACATTATAGTCTCCAATGGCCCGGGGATTACTGCCAAGGTGAAAGTGATAATAAAAATGCAACCGTCTAAGACAACAGAGACTGTCCGTCAGACCAACTGCTAATGTGGGTTACTGAGTGTTTTGAGGACGCACCTGATGGTTTCACTCGCATCGCAGGCATCAGCATTGACGCATGGGTAAGGCTTTCTTGTGAGGCCGCCTAATGGCAAAAGTTCCTGTGCCCAAGTTTCTTACGGAAATCGTGATTAAAGGTGTAATGTTTGATCAAGGCGTAGGTAATTCGTAATAAGTGTATAGTAGGAAATAAGTTAAAGCCGCTTGTAATTTGATAGAAGAGATTCTTTGGGAAACAGGAACAAACCTTATTGTAAATTTTCGACACTGGCACACCAGGTCGTCTTCGGACGCGAGGGAATTGTGTGAATAGCAGTTCACATTTTTAAACATGTCAAAAAATCGATAATGCTGTGTCATCCGTGGTCAATAGCATGTTTTATTGGTTGGCCCTTTTTCCAGGCTTTTTAAGACTGGTGTACATTGAATCCAACTCAACGTGCCTGTTGATGCACGCTGACAAACGTGTCATCGACATAGCGTACCCGCAACTTGGGGTAAATAGTGGTAGGGCTATAGTTTCTAATTTTTGCATTGCTACTTCGGCCAAGAAGCCTGGATTGGCTGACCCCATCGGTGCTCCTTTTATCTGTTTATAGTATTGTTGAGCGAACAAGAAATTAGTTTCCAAACATAGATCTAACAGTTCAAGCAGGGCAGATACAAGTAAGTCCATTTCGTAGGAATTAAGTAATTCTTCTGTGA